CACTCCCACTCCCCGTCGACAGTGTGCTCCAGGCCATCGTCGTTCGGCGGGAGTACTCGTGGCACTTTCATCGAAAGGTCGTCGTGGCATCACTCCCAGCCACCGTCCACCGTGCTCAATAAATCACGAGCACGGGCCACTCATCCCCAAACGCATTTCGAGCGCGCGCATGGATTGCGAGCACTGCAGTGGACTGCTTTCTCGCCGCGATCTTGTCTGCCTTTCGCGCGCTATTGTGTCGTCGCCTGCTCCCGCCGCGCAACTTCGTTAACGGGCACTGTCGTCGTCGACCATGTACCCATCTGCGATGCGCGCCATCTACCATCTCTGTCGTCCGCCAATCGTCTTGCCGTCATTCGTCGTCGTCGCCCTGTCGTCACCTGCCGTCATTCGTCGTCGCCGCCCTTGCCGTCGTTCGTCGTGCCGCCATTCGTCGTCGTCGCCCTTGCCGTCATTCGCCACCCTGTAATCCATCCGTGTAATCATAGCCGTGTGTTCCATTCTCTGTCTTCCATTCTCGCCGCCCTGCAATCATCCAGCCGCCGCACGGTGTACTCGTCCGCAAGTTCTGCGAACCACCGACCGCGATCGAAGGCGCTTTTGTCGGATCCACCATGTCTTCCCGCGGAGGTGGACGGGGGAAGGCTGCCTTGAAGCAGATCGTGGAAGGCGCGGCCCCCGCAAAGAAGGGACGGCATCAAGCGAAGAGGCAGAGGAAGGTCGTCCAAGCCGTGCCCGCTGGCAGTGCGCGAGACGTTGTGGAGGAGGCTGTGGTGGAGGAAGAGATAACGAACGACGAGGACGACTTTGAAGACGACGACGATGAAACACTGCAGAAGAAGACGAGGGTCAGTTCCGCGGAGGGGGTTAGAATAAACGAGGGGGGGGAAGGGACACCGTCCGCACGGCGCGGCAGTGGCGTTGCCGCGGCCAACCAACCAGTCTTTGTCGACGTGGCACGCGACGTGGCAAGGAGGGACGTCGGTGGCCGCACGAAGGAAGGGGCCGCCTCGCATGAGACTGCGCAGCGTGTGCTTGCGCCAGTGAATTGCCCCCGAACCCCGGCTGCAGACATGGCGGGGAGTTCCCAAGCAGCGGTTGAAGGTGGGACGTTGCGATCTCCCACGGTGGCGGCGCGCGGCGGCGCTGTGGCGGTCCCGGGAGAGGCGGTTGAAGTCCCGAAGGGAGGAGATGGCGTGGCGGCCGGGGAAGACGATGAGGCTCTAGTGCACAGGCTGCGCGGGCAACGATCGGCGACACATGCGATGGATGCCGCCGCCAAACTTTGGGAGGATGACAACAGATTCTGGAACAACACGTAGGGGAGCGCCATAGTGAGGATAATCCAAGAAGCGCGCGCGTATCTCGTGGTCGTGGCGCGGGGAGTGCAGCCTCCGGCTATTCGACGGAGCATCTCCCTTCCACACAACTTCATCCCCCAACACAAAATCGAGGATGAGTCGGAGCTGAACGCGACGAAAGAGAGGACGTTGAAAGTGCAGACAATCTCCCTCAAGACGATCCACGGTTGGGTCTTCAAGTCGGAGAGCAGGCAAAGGGGGTATCACTTGGCATACCAATACGCGTTGAATCACGCTGCCACGGACATCGCTAGAGCAATGCGGTGAGCAGAGGACTGGCGCAGTTTGGTGAGCCCAATGTTGTTCCGCACCACATTGGACGTAGACATGAAGTTGCCTTTGTGGTTCATGGGCGTGTACATAGTGGACAGGCACGAGGACCATGAGTGCGCGGCTTACCAGGAAGCTTGTGTCCAGCGTCTGGTGTGGGATTTACAAGCGCAGTTGGCACGACAAAAGCTATGGGCGGTTGTCGAGTGTCGTACGAGCGTCTGAAGGGGATGGCAGAGGCGATGAGGTATTTGCTCGCCGCCACGATGTGGATTATGCGAATGGCGGGGGACGATCCGAGATCGCATTACGACGCTTGGGTTTTCGTTCAACTGACGGCGAAGACGACGCTGCTGGCGTCCATGAACCGTCAGTTCGACGCCCACCGACACATCACGCAATCCGCGCAGGTCATGACGAACAAGTTGGGGAGACCGCCTCCGACCTTCGCCCCCCCACCTGTGTACATCCCCGATTGGGCGTCTAAGTGTGGGGTCACTTTCTCGCACGACGCCACGTTGGCCTCTCCGATGGAGGCAAAACGGTTGGATTGGCTGGGGACAGGTCCTCCCGAGGACGCCGCCGCCGCCGCCGAAGGCGATGACAAAGGCGAGGGGGGGTGACGCGTAGACGACGGTGATGGCGAAGGCGAGGAGGGGATGATGCGCAGGCCCTGTTGAGATGGCAGGTACAAGAGGATGGGGGATCGAGCGAACTGAAGAGGGGGGGGCTGATGGGG